AGACTGGAGTGCAGTGGCTGCTCCTGGCCACCGCAGCCTCGACCTGCTGGGCTCCGGTGATCTTTCCGCCTCAGCTTTCCAAGTAGCTGGAACTACAGGCACGCGCTACCACACCCAGCTAATTTTTGATTTATTGTCGAGATGAGTTCTTGCCAAGTTGCCCAGGCGGGTCTCGAACCCGTGGGCTCAGGCAATTCACTCACCTTGGCCTCCCAAAGCGCAGCGTTACAGGCTGAGCCACCGAGCCCGGCCCGGATGCATTCTTTATCATACAACATCTTCTCATCACGAAATCCTTTATCACATCTGTAAAGTATCTTTTGCCATGTCGATGACATTCACAGGGTCCAGGGATTTAGAACATGGATGTCTTACTGGGTGATGACACATGCTTTCACGAGGAATAACTGGCTGAGAAGGACTTTCAGGTGGGACTGTTGTGGTCCAAGTCATGCTCGGCTGCTCTCCTTGATACCAATAAACCAAAGGGGCAGGAAACTGCTAGAAAGAAGTTTATTTCTGAGTTCGAATCCAAGGAGCAGAGCCAGACTCAAAGTCTTTCTAAAATGGTTCTGCTCACTCTCCAGGCTTTTACAGTTCACTTTTATAAGTCCAGAGTTGTTAGTACCTATACATTAGCCACGTGACCAACAGAGCATTGTACAGAACTTGAGTTTCAGCTGCATTAATTGATAGTGACATTTTTCTGGTCTAGACTTCCTGGTGCCAGGTATCAGAGGTGTCTCATATCTTTTATCAGTAGGGCCTGGCAGAAGCATTAATCAAGCTTGCCAAAGAGTAAAGGGAGTTTACAAGGCCCAAGACATCATTCACTCTGCAAAAGTTATACAAATCACAAAACTTATGATTACATTGGATGCAAAAGTTATACAAATCACAGGCTTACGGTTATATTGATACCATATTATTCAAACTTACAATCACTAGAAAAAGAGAGTAAACGGATTTGCTTTTTTTTTTTTTTTTTGAGTTCGGTCACATTCTGTCACCTAGTCTGGAGTACAGTGCACGCTCACGGCCACTGCAGCCTTGATCTGCTGGGTTCAAGTCTTCCAAGTAACTTGGGAATTATAGGCATGTGCTACCACACCCGGCTAATGTTTTGATTTATTGTAGAGATGAGATCTCACCAAGTTGCCCAGGCTGGTCTCGAACCCCTGGGCTCAGGTAATCCTCTTGCCTTGGCCTCCCAAAGTGCTGGGGTTATAGGCGTGAGTCACCACACCAGGCTGAGATTTGCTTCTTTCAGTTGATTGGGCGTAGTCTACAGGGAAGTCAAGGATCTCCTGAAGCTACTTACTGGGAGTGCATAGGAGATACGGGGAAGTGCACCTTTTTATATGCTTTCAGGAATATTGTTCAGGAATGTACAGGAGTGCTTGCACCCTTGCCATGCCCTTCTCTAGGGGCTGTGACAATATGGACAGACTTTACTGGGTCTCTGTATCAGGACGGCAGCCAGATGCTTACCTGGTGGCTTAAGTGCTTGAGGGCTGGGTTAAC